AACATGGCAGCATGGCTTAGGTTTGCAAAGTTGCATCTGAACAAATCACAAGACTTCTGGAACACTGTCCTTTGGACAGACAAGACCAAAATGGAGATGTTTGGCCACAATGCATAGCGCCACATTTGGCGAAAACCAAACACAACATATCAGCACAAACATCTCATACCAACGGTCAAGCACGGTGGTGGATTTGGGCTTGCTTTGCAGCCACAGGACCTTGGGCACCTTGCAGTCATTGAGTCAACTATGACTCTGTATACCAAAGTATTCTAGAGTCAAATGTGAGGCATCTGTCCGACAGTTGAGGCTTGGCCGACATTGGGTCATGCAACAGGACAATGATCCCAAGCACACCAGCACATCTACAACAGAATGGCTGAAAAAGAAAAGAATCAAGGTGGCCTAGTCAAAGTCCAGACCTCAACCTGATTGAAATGCTGTGGTGGGACCTCAAGAGAGTTGTGCATAAACAAATGCCCGCAAACCTCAATGAACTGAAGCAGTGTTGTAAAGAAGACTGGGCCAAAATTCCTCTGCATCAATGTGAGAGACTGAGAAAGTCATACAGAAAACAATGACTTCAAGTTATTGTTGTTAAAGGTGGTTCTACAAGCTACTGAACTAAGGTGTACTTAGTTTTTCACACACGGCTTCTCCATTTTGACTTTCTTTTTGTAAAATAAATGATGACGTGGTGTAATATGTGTTGTTGTTCATCTGAGGTTGTATTTACCTACTTTTGAGAACTGCCAAGGACCAAATGATTTTTATTATGTCCTGATACGTAAGACCATAGAACTCAAAGACGGTGTACTTTCTTTTTCACACAACTCTACATTCTATTTAATTCTACCACTGATATTTGTGGTGTAGTTTCGCTTCCACCTCTTGTGACATTTTAGAATGGTTTTTCACCATGAAATAATAAGTGACTATAAAGACAATGAGTTTTTTCCTGTTTTTGAATGAGCCACATACTTCCACAAAGCTATAATGTAGCATAAAATGTAGAATGAGGGAGAAGGAAGCAATCATCACTGATTAAGAAGAGAAATAAAATGAAGAGGCTGGAATATGGTAAGGACTGAGGATGCATAAATTGAGTTAGGGTTAGGGATGATTTTTATTATGTCCTGATACATAAAACCATAGAACTCAAAGAGGGTGTACTTTCTTTTTCACACAACTGTAAATAGCTTTTATAGAAAGCTTGGATAGAGGTATATTGTAAGCAGGAATTGTAAACCAGCAAAAGATGTTGCAGTTTTGATTGGTAGATTCTGGAAGCTGTTGATTGAAAAAAATATCAGATGAATACAGTTGCTTTTTAATCCTCAGATTATATCATTACTTAATATATAACATTATCAAATGTATATGGTCCAACTATTTAGTACTCATACATAATAGGTTTTCAACATTTGCAAACTACCCACTCAATCATATAGTAGCTGGAGGAGATTTGAATTAAATTTACGTACCTATTTTTGATTGTAATACCTAACCCCAAATTGTATACTCTTATTTGTAACATTTTTCGGTATTATATGTATGAATTTAACCTACTGGCTATTTGGCATTCTGTCAATCTTTCCCAATGTGAATACCCTTTCTTCTGTACGTAAAAACTATTTTTGTATAGATGTCATTCTTTGGGATCTAAGGCTAAGATATGTGAAAAACCGACTTTATTTCAGACCTTGCTCCTGTAAGGTCTGAAAGTGTCATTTGACAGTACATCTTTAAATTTTTCAAATGTCCCTTGAATATATCTTTGTTGAATTATAACAGTTTTATTAAGGAGATGAAACAAATGTTTTACAAAAAGTGAGACTATCACAGAACCAGGCTATTAAGATGATTTTTACCCCTTTCTCTTCAAGAAGCTGTTAATTAAATTTGCAAAAGAAGTAAAGGCTTCTGGGTCTGAGGGCTTTCCAGTTGATTAGCAGAAAAGCAGATTCTTGTATCCTCTTCTACTAGAGATATAAAAATATCAAAGCTTTTTCAAGTACCTTTTAGTGTCAGTGAGACTAGTATTGTTAGTGCTCCCCAACCAACATAAGAATCTCTTTTCCAATTATGTATCCAGTTCTTATATAATTGTGGGTGCTAAAAGCTTAGTAGCTACAGCTTCTTTCAATTCTTCTGCACCCAATTAGGGCTGTATTTGTACAGGTCATCAAAATTCTGTTATTAGATGTTTAATTGATGTAATTCCTTTAACTCAAACAGGAAGAATCAGATGCTAATTCTTTGCTGGGGAGAAAGCTTTTGATATTTCTTGAAACTGTTTGAAACAAGTAATCAATGTTTATGAGTTTCCTGAAAGTCATTCTTTAGATTACTGTTTTTTAAACCCCTAAGCCACATGTGATATTGACAGTGTGTTATCACTTTGGTTAGATATGCTGTGGTACATATGAAAGATGCTTTTTTACAGCCTCTGGCTTGCACTGTCTAGTACGCTGTTTGGGATGCTTAATTTGGAAACCTGTGGGAAGACTCAATGGTTTCAATGGGCATTTCCAACTCAAGTATTCCATTATTCTGTTAGAATTCTGAAGACATTAAAGGGATCACACTAATGTTCTGCATAAAATAATCTAAATTAGATCATTTCTAATCTCCTTTTGCTAATATATAAGTTTGCTATCTTATTCTATAAATGAGAGAAAATGCAATTTATACAATAGTAACAACTATACAGACTGGAGTTTTAGGTTGTGTTACATAACTCAGTATTAACATTCTTAAAACTGGTAAATTTTAAGACCCAATTTTGACCCAAGATGCAGATGTTCTATATTAACTGAGATCATGTATTTTTACAAGATTTTGACATTATTTTGTTTATGCATATAATTTGTATTTTCATTTTATCTTATTTGATAACTTTAAAAAATGCTGCATGCACTGTCGTCCATAAGATCCCCTGCAAATTCTGGATTTGCTTTGCAAAGCGGAGGGGTTTCTCATGCTTACCTACTGGCAGTCTCCGGGGATCCAGGCGGAGATACCGTGGGGACATCTTCGAGTACTCGCGGCGGCTAGAAAAAACGAAGTGGCTAAGAAGAAACGGCCGGGGAAATGACTGGAAAAGCCTTCCAAAATCGACGAATCATCCCGGGCAAGGCGAACTGTCAGTCCCGTCTGTGGAAGTGCGAGGGCTCGAGCCCTCTCGAGGATCACCGACGAACGAATAAAAGGCGACCTCTAGCGTCCCATGGCGAAAGCCTGCTCCTCCCAGGCCCAACGGGAGGGCGGGTTATAGCATTCTCCCAGCAACTCCGGTACCGCGCGTCCCCGGGAAGCGTTGCCGCTGGCGACCGCACCCAGCTGAGCCTCCTATTCCCAGGGCTGCCCGCGGGAGCTCCGCCCTCTCCAGTCTCCGAGCTGCTCAGGGATTGGAGGGCGACTGCGCAAGCAGGACTCGCAAGTTTATTGCGTCACAAAGGAGGTGGGGCGGGCAGGCACCGCCCCTTCGCCGCGGGGCGGAGAGAACGGGCGCTTCTGTGTGGCTAAATGCCTTTTGCCCGATATCGGCTGCGCGCCATGGCGACCTCAGCAGCTCCGTGAAGGGGGAGGCGACGCATCAGGTCCCCCGCCCCGGCCCGCCCCGCAGGGCCCTGGGTGGCAGCAAAGGGCAGGTGAGGAGGACGGGTCTCCGCACCTGGCCTCCTCCGGGGGAGCACGCATGGTTGCGCCCGTCCGTCGTCCTCTTTCTGTCCACGTTCCCGGGGAGATGGTGTCCCGGCAGCCGCTATGGCCATCAGCTCTAATGGAGGCTGGAGGCGGGACCCGTGTCTTCCTGGCCTGGGAGTTAGAGGGAGGCCGCTTTCTTCCTTCTGGGGCGGGCGGGGTCTAGGAGATCGAGAGGGCCCCTGAAGGGCCGGCCTGGCAAGACGAGGGCCGGAGCCGGCCGAAAGAGCCCAGCCCAGCCCAGAAAAGGAAAGTTAGTTCCGAGAAGAAAATACCCTTCGGTGCTTCTATCTTGAGGCTTTTGTTTCGAGCTTCCTCTTTCGTTTCCTGGGTTCCGGGGCTCTTTCCTGCCCTGATGGTAGGGACCGAAACGGGCACAAAGAGCAAGTTTGATGGAGCTGCCTTTGATCTCCCAGGCTTGTGGCAAAGGCGGGCGCCGGCTTATCTGTTTCTCCAAGTGGAGTCCGGCACCCGGAGTTAAATAACTTTGGGACCCCCACCAAAGAGGCTCTATTCTGCACGCTAGCCTAATCTCCATATTCTAGGTGCGAGAGTGGAGGATGAGCAGTTGGGTGAAAGCTGCTCGGTCTGTTCTGGATAGTTATGTACCACCCAGATCGATATATTTTTCTCCCCAAAAACATTGGAGCTTAATTTCTTTTATTTTCAGTGTGGCATTTTGTGATTATTAGAGATAAAGAATATGATTAACTTTTGATACTGCACAGACTTAATATAGCTGCATGGCTTTGCATGTGGGGAGGTGGGGAGGGCAGGGATCACTTTGACACAACTGATAGGTTGTCATGGTCTACCAGGAAAAGCAGGAAGCCCTATCTGCACTTGAGGCAGAAAGATCACAGTAGCCTATCTACTTCTTTGGTATCTATGGGACCAGTGGCAGTTTTCTGCTTGACTATTTGCAAGTACGTTTGTGATTGTCCAGAGTGTTTAGCATGGGGTTGATGAGCAAGTCCAAATAGGCAAAGCTCAATAACTGAATTCTGGTGGTTTTTCAAATATTTTAGTGGCACTTTTGCAACTTAAATAAGATATGCCACATTCTGCCTGCATTATTTTGGTTGAATCAGGCTGTAATTGTGTATGCTTGCTTGATAATAAGCTGTAATGAATAGAATGGTGCATACAGCTAGACAAGCATGCGTAGGTTTGGCCTGTTACAGTTGATTTGTTGTATAATCTTTGTGAACTGGTGGAGGTCTGCATAAGCATTACATCCAAGTAAAACTTTTGGAGCTTTTGCAATGACATCCAGAAAGCAATTTGTGCCATTCAGCATGCATAGAATATTCTGAGTACACAGCTGGCAGAAGTACAAACATCTTCCATTTGTAATAGCAGTGGCTTCAGATAATAGTTTCATATCTACTGTTCTTGTAGAATTACCCAGTTATGAAAAGTACATTTTTAATGGATCATTATAGCACACTTGATCTTTATTTTCTATTTTCATTGCTTGGGAATTGGCCGTTGACCTTAATGGGAATGGTTTTCTCTGTTACCTTGTTCTCCCTGGATCAGTATTCTAATCCTCCAAATTTCAAGGTTCTTCCTGCATGTTGGAGTTTGGGGATAGAAAATATTTTTAAGATACCTGTTACAAAATCTCTCACTTGACTTCAGGGTCCTCAGTCATTATTGTGTAGATTTCCATCTGCTTAGTTGCTTTGCACCCAAGTATTTTATTTTTTTTTTGGTAAGGAGAATTAATACAAGTTCGTAATCTTGAGTATCTTTCTTCAGTGATGCTTATTTTATTTTCGTGCAAAGAATTGCTCTGAATTTTAAAATGTTAGTGTACTCTTTCTCTTATATGAAAGAGTTTATATACAAATTAAAATACACTGGAATAATTTATTTATTTACAGATATTTATGTCTTTTGCCTTTAAATATATACTTCTGGGTGAAAAAAAACAGAATGAAATCTGTGGTACGATACAGTTATATTTAAAAACTGCTTTAGTGGATCTTAATATTATTTCCTAAGTGTTATGGCCACAGATCCTGTATCCATCTTAACCTTGAAACCTGAACAAAAGCATAAATGTTCCTGTTTAGAGCTGACGTGAGGTGAAAATGAGATCAGTAATTCCCAACTGATTTTTTCAAAAGGAATACTAGAATGGCCAGCAAGAAGGAACCTCCTTTCTTCAATGAGGATAATGTTGGATCATGCCATTGCAAACTTACTTTCTATGAGACCATGGAGCTCTTCATTGAAACTCTTACAGGAACATGCTTTGAACTGCGAGTGTCTCCTTTTGAAACAGTTATTTCCGTGAAAGCTAAAATCCAGAGATTGGAAGGTACATATTCTTTTTATCTCCGGACTTAGTTAGGTTTTAAATTTGAAAGTTCAGTTGTTTTACAGAGAATAAATATTTTATACTTAAAATAATGTAGTTAGTTTATAGAGTGATCAGTTATTCATTATGAAATACCGTGATTATTCAAAATTATTAGTAGAATTAAAAGGCTGCTCAAAAAGTCTGAACGTATAATATTTTATTTCCATTGAGCTCCTGGAAGTAAACTGGGATGGAAATATAACAAATAAGTAATTGCTTAGGTCAAAATACTAGTACTGATGCAAAAATATTTGTATTTTTATAAAAGTTCAAATTGTAATAACATGTCAATCAGATGTATGAGGCGAGGTTGATGAACTTTCTGCGTAGGAACGCCTTCAGCAAATACAGGTAGTTCTCGTTTAGTGACCACAATTGGAACTAGCAACTTTGTCACTAAGTGATGTGGTCGCTAAGTGGAAAATTGCGTGGCTGTGCTTATGATTTTACTTCAGCCTTCCTTTTTCCTTATTCCCCCACCTTTTGGAATGTTCATCCCAGCGCTGGGATAATTAGCAAGAAGGGAATTCATGTTTGTATTTATATTCATTGGAGAGGAAGGGATTACAAGACAGTAAGCACACAGTGAGGAATACACATCCAAAGGAATGCTGTAGCACTGGCATGCTCCCAGGCAGAAGCACGCTAGACAAACAGCCGGTGCTAGCACATTCATTTCAAGGTGTATTCCCCATTGTGTGTCTGCTTACTCTCTTGTAACCCCTTCTTCTCCAATCTCTCTACTCTGAGAAGTGGGGGAGAAAGAAAAGAGGTCAGGCACAGGACAACATGTACTGATTGTAATGGTGAACACGTGACAGAGAGAGAGATGCTGCACAGGTCATAAATGTGCACCATGGTGTGGTCACAAAGTTATTTTTTCAGCACAGATATAATTTTGAATGGTCACTGCATGAGACAGTTGGTAATGTCTGTCTGTAATGTTTCCTCTTTAAATAACCTTAAAAATGTTCTTGCAATGGATCATATTTCATTTTTGAAGTTCCACTAATCATGAAATGTGAGTTAATATAATGAAAATGAACTAAATTCCAGTGTTTCATAGTGAGACACTTATGTCCATAGATAAGTAGCTAATATAGAGTACTGAGTTCTATACTTTATTTCCATCTTTTATCCATTGCATTATAATTTCTCAACTGAGAAGCTGAGAAAGACAATGAATTTACTCAGTGGTTTAATTTGTAAGGTTTCCCACCAATGGGAAATCAATTATTTGGTAGAGATGTTTCCCCATTTCTATCCTGTAATATGATTGCTATGTCTGTATTAACAGTCTGTCCTACAGCTTTCCTGTTTTATTCATAGAATCATAGAGTTAGATAATTAAGTCCAACCCCATTCTCAGTGCAGGAATCCAAATTAAAACATCACAGACAGATGGTTATCTGGCTTCTGCTTGAATACATCCAATGAATTGTTTCTACTTTCAAACCTGTCTTACCATTAGAAAATGATTCTTAAGTTCATTCAGTACTGGTCCCTAGCACTCTGGAACAAGAGGCAGTAAGTCTTAATCATCTTCTATATAACATCCTTCCTGATTTTTGAAAAGTACTATCATATCCTCCTCAGTCATTTTTTTCAGAAAGTTAAACTGTTCTTTGAATTCTGTCTTTATAGGACTTAGATTGTAACATCCTTGTTTGCCTTTTCTGAATGTCCCATTGGGATCCAGAAGTACTCAAATGGGATTTAACAAATGCAGAATAAAGTGAAACAATCACTCCTAATGATTTGCAATCTGTATGTCTGTTGGTGGAGCTTAAAATTGCATATCCCTGTTTTTGAAGCAACATCACACCCATATTCAACTTTCAGTCAACTGTTGTCCCAAAATCTTTTTCACTGCCACTGTATCCGTCATCCTCTATACTATATCTGTACGTTTGATTTCTGTGAGGTTTACATCTGCTTCTTTAAATTCCATGTCCTTACTTTACTGCTAGTTTATCTAACATATCAAGACTTTTTTGAGAAATCTGTGAGACATTAGCTATTAGACATTGGCTTACTCAGTTTTGTGTCACCTGCAGATTTGATAAGCAGACATTCACCTCTTCATCCAAATAATTTTTTAAAAAGTAATTAATAAATGTATTGTAGAGGACCCTAGACAGAATATTCTGATCCCAGTATTTTCTTCCAGCTGGATGAGGAACCATTGGATCAGCAGCAAAATTTTGGACCAAGCTGTGCCTTTTGGGTACTGAAAATCAAATGACAGGTAGTCCTCGCTTAGTGACTACTCATTCAGTGACCATTTGAAGTTATGACAGTGTTGAACAAGGAGACTTACATACAGTCCTTGAAGTTGCAGCTGTCACTGCGTCCCTGAGATCACATGCTTGCAATTTGGGCGCTTGGCAACCAAGCATGCAGTTACAACAGTCAGTGTCCCACAGTCATGCAATCATCATTTACAACCTTCATTGCCGGCTTCTAACTAACAAAGTCAACGGGAAAGCTGGCAGGATGTTGCAAGTCACAGTCATGTGATGTTGCACTTAACAACCACATGTGATTTGCTTAATGACCACAACCAGAATTGCCATCGTAAGTCAGCATGGTCATGTGATTTTTTTTTTTTTTTTTTTGCTTTACAACCGTGTTGCTTAGCAATGGAGTTCCCAGTCCCAATTACAGTCGTTAACTGAGGACTACCTGTATATTATGTCTACAGAATTCCACAATATACCAGAAAATTAACCAATCAAGAAATAAGGTAAAGATAGCCTGCATTATTACTTTATTTTCTACTCTAAATTTTTTCCAAGCTTATTGTCAGAGTGGCTGGGGTCTTTAATTCCCTGGATCCCTATTTTTCTCCTTTTGAAGATAGGGACAGTTTTGGGTCATCTGGCACTTCCCTAGTTATTCAGTATTTCTCAAAGAAAATGATTCAGCAAGTTCCTTCAGAATCCTAATATGCAAAATAAGTAAATATTCCCTGGGTTACTGTCACTCTCAAGCATCAGTCTTGTCTTTTCATCTTACTCTTTACAATTGCTTTTTATAACCTGTTGAACAGCCAATAAACTGACTGTTTTTCTTTTATTTTAAACATATCCAAAGAAAACACATCCAAAGAAACCTTTCTTAGCATTTTTCACCCATCCCAGCTCATCATCAGCTTTAGCTCTCCTATCTAAAGAATCCAAGGCTTTGCAGCATCGTAGAAATGTAACATTTCTGTCTTCCCATTAGTGAGATGAGAGCTGAGAAAACAATAATGGTCAAGTTAATACTATAGTACATGAATTAATAACATATAGAAAACTTAGATTTATGAAACAGTTCTCTTACATGTCATTCTCATGTAATTAGCATGAAGCAAAGAAGAAAATTTGTTCTTCATTATACTATTTTTTACCTTGGGAAGTTGATGGGTAGTGAGTTATGTATAGCCAAAGATGGAAGTACAGTAGTATTTTGCGAATTACATCATTAAGTGAGGAGAAGCATTACTACAACCATTTTCTATCTCAGCCTACCACATGCTGACAATAAACCTGATTGCCGTCTTCATGCCTCACTTACAAACTGCCTGTTGTTATAGTTAAGTCACTAAGGACTAGTTTAACAATAAAAATCCCTTAGTGTTAACATGGATTACTCTGAGCTGGAAAATTTATGTTCAAATCCTTAATTCACAATGAATTTTATTGAATGTCTTATAATATCTTGCAGCCTAATCTACTTCATGGGGCTATTACAAGGATAAAGTGGAAGGAACAATCATGTATACCATCTTGACCTCATTGAGGAATTATAGGGTAGCAGTTAATAAATAAAATTAACCCTGATGTGGGCAAGATTGTGGCTATTGCTTACTACTAATCAACTGGTATTAACTGCCTTACTTAAAGGCAATTTCTACTATTTGGATTTAATCCTGGCACTAAAAATTGGAGTTAAAGTCAGGAATGTTTTGCTTGATATAAATTTAAATTATGTTTATTATTTAAATTGTGTTAATTTTAGAGGAATATGTTTCCAAGTTAAAAGGATAGCTATTTTAGTAATTTTAGTCATAGCTTTACAGAGTGAAAAATCCATTCAATTTTAATAATATTTTAAGGTATCCCTGTATCTCAGCAGCATTTAATCTGGAATAATGTGGAGCTGGAGGATGACTATTCTTTGAATGATTACCAGTGAGTATTTAAATGAGATTAATCAGTATTTCTGAATATTACTTCTGTTGGAAGAAAAGCTTACAAAACATGTCTGATTGATTGTTTACAGCATTTCAGAAGGTTGTACTTTGAAGTTGATCTTAGCAATGCGTGGTGGACCAATTAATACAAAAAGAGGTAGGCCTTTTTTTACATTTAACCTGTTGTGTTTTTATAGAAAGCATAAATGAATTAAAATTACACTATCAGTTCCTAGTGAGTGGGAAGAGGCTAGGGCTAGTGTATGATTTACCTCTTCTTTTCTTGCTTCTGTTTTCATTCAGTAACATACTACATACTGTAAAGGTAGTCCTTGTTTAGCTACCACAATTGGGACTGGCAACTTGGTCATTAAGCAAAGCGGTTGTTAAGTGAAAAATCACATGACTGCGACTGTGCTTATGATTTTACTTCAGCTTTTCTTTGCTTTACATCGTCAAAAGGATACAACCTCAAACAGTCAGGTAAGCCCAAACTGTGAAGAAGGTTTTTGGAACTCAATTCATGAGGAAGTCAGGTAAAAGGGCAAATCTTATAGCCCATTTTCCCTACTCCTCCATCCTTTGGAATGCTCACTCCAGCACTGGGATAATTAGCAAGAAGAGAATTAGTGTTTGTATTTACCTTCATTGGAGAGGAAGGGATTTCAAGAGAGTAAGCAGGGAATACACATCCAAAACAATACCCTGGCAATGGCTGTTTGCCTAACAGCTTGTGTTGAAACTGATTAGGGTCTTGTCAATTTCAGGCAGCAGCTGCAAGCAGGCTAATTCAGGTCCCTGAGCCCAGCTTGTTAACGTGCAGTTATTTATTTATTTATTATCCACCCATCTCACTATCAGTGACTCTAGGCAGCTCACAGGTAAAAAACATAAAAACATTTTTAAAAAAATTTAAACATTTAAAAAGTTAGCACTTTTTAGGGAGGCCTAGTCCTGGGCAGAAAAGCAGCTCAGACAGGAAGAGATAGTTTGTTTAGGCAATCTCTCTGCTCTGCAGGGAGGTGGGGGATGGGTCAGGCACCGGACAATGTATACTAACTGACTAATGACAAATACGTGACTAAGAGAGACACTGCGAAAGTCGTAAAAGTGGACATTGGTTGCGAAGTTGCTTTTTCATCACTGTTGTAACAGCAGATGGTTGCTGTTTGAGGCAGCTGCTAAATGAGGACTACCTGTAATATTTTTATTTTTCTCATTTCTTATTTAAAAAACAAAATAACATAAAATAGTTTCACAGCATACAAGTGTTCATATACTGTATTATGGCTTCATCGTTTCAAGATCTTACTTAGAACTGTTTATAAATAGTTTTTTTGATTGATGAAAATTATCCAAATTGTCCTAACTCAAAAAAGAATATTATTTGAATTATCTTATTTGAAGTTGTGGGTTAATCTTTCTGCCATCACCATATAACAAAACTCATATAAGGATAAAATTCTCTGCTTCCATTTTTTTGTTATTACCATTCTTGCCACTATCAGCATATGAATGACCAGCTCTTAAGATGTTAGAGAAAAAGATCCAAGTGTCTTTCAGAACAAGCTAACATGATAACAAGGGAAAGGCAGAGAATAAACAAATTGGGCAACAATGACAACTAAGTACAGGCTTCCAGCATCAAGCAAGAAAGGACAAGGAAAGAAAACTCAAGAATGTCAGCAACATAGAGGATTACGAGAAAATGAGGGAATTTTTTACAAGAACAGAAATTGCATGAAAATTAATAGCTAAGATAGGAGTGTTAAAGAGTCATGATAGAAGCACATGACAGAGCCAATGAAGTTAAACAAACTGGGACCCCTTATCAACAGTTATATAATGGTAGAAAGAGTGCCAGCTCCAGTAGGAAGTAAAGTAGGACAACAACAGACCAGCTGTCTTTATTTTCCATAGCAGGGTTCTCCAAAGTGGTCAATATTCTCCAAGGGACTATTCATTATTGTTATTATTATTCATAACACTATTATAGTAGTATTTATTAAATTATTTTCATATAATAAACATTTGGGGGTCAATGAACAATCTGAAAGTGGTTGATAAGCTGAAAAGTTTGGGGACCCCTGTTCAATAGAGAAGCACCAGGTACCTCTTTAACTGTTAAAAGCTGTTGGAGAAGAGACAGTTAAACAGGTTTCTGTCAACAAATATGGAACAAGACATTGCAACATTGAGATTAGAAAAGATTGGTATGTAGTCCTATACCAGTAAAGGAGATGCAAGATAATTCACAAACTACTGTATCAACCCATTGCACTAATTCCTAATGCAAGCGAAGTTTTGCTTAAAAGAAATGCAAAATAACTAGGCAGATTTCTGAAAAAGCAGAAGGATGAGACTTCTAATGCCTGGAATGTCTCCTCATTTAAAGTGGCAGCTAGAGAACCTGGGAATTATGTTTACTTTTGATTACAGCAGACACTTGGATTGTATAGAATATGCCAAAATAAAACAGTAAAGGTAATAGGTGTACCAAAATAACAGATAGTTCTTCACTGTAATCTTTACAATGAATTTTAAAATTCTGTAAGAACTGAATTTAGACAAACTGTGATTCAGAATACAGAAGGTAATGTAGCAAAGAAGTAAATAGTCCCCCTATATATTTAACTTATACAGAAAATATATAATAAGAATGGCAGGATTGGAAGAGATGAATCTAAGATATACAAGTGACACCACTTTATTAGCTGAAAGTAAAGAAAACTTAGAAGAGCTTATTATGAAAATTAATTCAAATTTTCCCTTTCCCTTTTATTGTAACATTAAGATGAGAAAGTCAGTGTCAATCTGCATGCTTAGTGAACTTATACTTGATGGCAAAGAAGTAAAAGTGATAGGTGTTTTGTTTTCTTAGGCTCAAAAGTAGATAAATAATATGATTAGCGTGCTGGAGACATTAATCTTAGGGAAGAATGCAGTTGCAAAATTCAATAAGTTAATAAAGGATAAGAATGTTTCAGAATGGTTAAATGCTTCAGAATAGTTAAAATCTTTCACAGTGATAATGCATAGCTATAAATTTGGAGACTGACATTGACAAAGAAGATACCTGCTTTTATAGTTTTCAAGATGGTTACTAAGGATTGCAAGAAAAGCCAGTCAGTCATTCCTGACCTCTTCCGTAGCATAGGCATCCGTAAAAAGCCATGATGGCACCACAAATGGGTTGCCCTATACATTGAATACATTGTGTCATGTCGTCATGAAATTTACATAAGGTGTGTCATTTGTGCCATAATATATGTGACATCACTTGCCCTCACCCCAGTGGGCATCCATGTCCTTGGTCATGATCAGCAAGGAAACACTTACATCATTTGGACAATTGATGTATAAATTTAAAAAACTATCAGGACTGAAGGAACTAGAAGAATGGAAAGATGATAAAATGAATTAATAGAATCAAAGAAATTACTGAACTGACTATAGTTCAGTAATTATCACTATAGTTAAATCAAGGGCATCTGTCCATACACTCACAAGAGGCAAACCTGACTTGGTAACAAATGGAATGAACAGTTTGGAAGTCTTTCTTGCATGAAATTTACTGCATGTGCAGTACTTTGGAAAAAGTGCTTTGGAGCATGCACATGTTAACATCTATCTTTAAGCGGCCACATCTTTTTCTTAGATCAGGTGTCTGCTTTTGCAGCTGCCCCATGTTGGGAAAATACCTGCGTATTTTTGGTGATAATGCCCATCTAATTACTCACTTTGGTAAAAAAAAATTGAATAATCATTCAACAGTCTTTGGTGACGAGTCCTGCTAATACATTCTCACCACAGAGATATCCTGGAATAGTAAAGATAGTACCAGAATGCTAAAGTTCAGAATGTAGCATTCTGAACTGAAAAACACTGAGTTAATTTTTAAGCCAATGCAGTTTCCTACAGTTGTAAATGACACTTATCCAGAGAAAGTATGCTTTGGTTTTTACAATAGTAAATCTGGCAGTGAGCACAAGCCCACCCCCACCCCCTTTTTCTCCCCTCCTTTTCTTTTACTCTGCAGAAAACTGGGGAGAGTCCCTTCTGAAATGTTTTCCACTCCCTCATTCTGTGGGCTGAGATACTTTTTACATGCAATTGTCCAGTCTGCGGCTCTCCCAAGGTCATTCCCACATAACATTACAGAACTCAGTAAGAACATTACATGGCAGTATGTACCAACTGAATTATAACTGCTTAAGTTCAATTTAGAGAGATTTCAATTGATAGAATGTAATTGCTTTTCGTGCTCAAGAATTGCTGCTGTTAATCATATCTGCTTTTTAAAAAATCAGTTTATCTGTAAAGGCTTAGTTAAGCGAACTAACAGCTATGAGTCTCTCGCAAGAAAGTAGAAAAACAGAACAACTGGAGTCCAGAAATGTTCACCATCTGCTATTGCCGCTAGCTTGCTCTGTGTGGTCTCCTACTCCTGCATCTCTCAGATTTAGCAGTGGCATGTCTGAGACAAATCTTCTCATAAGCAATATTTAATATTTTACCATTCATCTTTAGGTGTTAATAGATTGAGAGATACCTACTTTGAGGAACATTATTGCCTATGTAGAGACAGAAATTATTGTTCTATGTATTTTTCCACTGTTTTTTCTATAATGGTACATGACAACGTAATCTGCCCGGAACTAGTAGAGAGCCAAACAAATGTTTGATGTGTTACAATAATTAATTATGTGATAGTAGGGCCTAAATCACAAGGAAGGAAGTTACTTTCCTTTTTGTTGCCAGAATAAAAAAAGATAGGATGCTGACAGAGCCATCACGAGCATTTATGCATCGTGTGCTTCATCGGATGTATGCATGTAGATTCTGACAGAGTAGCATCGTGTGTACATCCGTTATTGAGGATGGACTGTGAGAGAGAAGGGACAGGAGGTAATACTGAAGGCAAAGTTAGAAAATTGCTTTAGAAGTTATGTACAAAAGCCTTTCTTACAGCTTATTAAATATATATTATATATTAGGTATATGTAATGTGTTTATATTTAATGTGTTTAAACAGAAAGCTGTCAGTT